ATCGCTCGGCGCTGTCACCCCGCCGGGAGCCCCCTCGGCCTCTGGCGCCTCATGCCTCCCTGCTCCGCCACTTGAGGAAGAGTCGCCTTGGCCGACTGGAAGGGCAGTCACCACCACTGGGTTCTCGCGAGGCCCCTGGAGGCCGGCGGGGTGCGGCCCCACTCATCGAAGATAGGCATCTGATTCACAAAATCACCCCTGTTCTGGCAGAGGTACAGCAAGGCCCCTCCCTGCTGGATGCTGCCAGGGTTGGGGTCCCCAGTCAGGATCAAGAGCGCTGGCCTCAGCACTTCAGGCGTCAGGTCCTCTTCCCGGAGCCTCATACGATCATCACGCCCGCTGAAGGCCCACATCCGGCGGGAGTGGCGTTGGAGAGGAGCAACGCGGTGTAGCAGGAACTCCTTCACCACCTTGGGCGATGTCACACCAAGCGATCTCAAGAACGCGAAGCGGTGCCAGACGAAGACGAGCCGGGGGCTCTCAAGCGTCTCCTGGCCCCAGCCCGAATTGGGGACAGCAGGCGAAGTTGGCTCCGATAGCAGGGGGCTGGGCACCCCTGCAACCACATACAGCCACCGCTCGCGGAACCCAGCCGCGGGCAAAGGGAGCCTGAAGTCAATCCCTGAGGCCGCTGTCTCAGGCGCGGCAACGAAGCTCACGCACGCCCAGCATTGGGTAGGGTCGACAAGGCGCAGAGAGAAGAAGTGGCACAGCAAGGCAACCGAAGGAAGGATGCCCATCATTGCCTCGCAAACAAAGGCGAAGACCGAAAGGAGGGTGATGGATTCAGGACCCAGATGCATCATGTGGATCTGATAGTGGGAAAGCACGGCATTGAAGAAATCAGAAAAGGGGGAACCAGACCCGCCCACAGGGCGTCGGCAAAACACGGGACCTCGGTGACTATCCTGTTGATGGAGAAGTGGGACGCGGGCCAGGCAGTCGTCCTCCCGCATTCATTGAAGATAGTAGCCAGAGCCGAGCTGACCTTGCCCAAGCCCTCGGCGGGGGCCGCCAACGGCGGCGAGCAAGGCGGAGGCATGGGTTTCTTCCCTCTTCCCTTCTTCGTTGGAGCCATGGCGATAGGAAGGGGGGGAGGTTCGAGATTGGGTTGAAAACAGAAGCTGGAGTTCGAGCGGAGGAAGGACAGAGGGCGCTCAAGCAACAGAAAGGGGAGCGGCTGTGTATGACTACGAGTTCGCCTAGCAAGGCGCAAAATAAGGGGGGCGTGAGGGAACAGTGCCGCCCACGCCCAACCAACCGCCACGCGGCGCCCAAGGCCGCGGGCTGTTAGGGACCGCGGCGCTTCGCTCTTGCCCTTTCGCCTCCCTGCACGGCCAAGTCCGGTCGCGCCTTGGGCCCGGGGGCTACTGTCGGCGTTCTGGGAACAGGGGTCCCCAGACTTGCCTGTATGCGGCCTGCGGCGTGGCTCAAAGGGAGCCCAGCACGGCCCGTCTTCATCAACACAGACCCAAGACCCTCGCGATGGGCCAAGCCTCGCGGGGCGGACGATACGGAGCTTCCTCAGGCACGGCCTCATCAGGCTGGCTCGCGAGGAGGCGGAGAGATCAAGGCGGGGTACCTCACGAGGTGCCCGTGACACAGGCCATGACGACCAAGGGTGCCAGGCAGGCGCCAGCCCGCGCAGTGTCCTTTTTTCCTCTTTGGTGCAAAGGGAGCAAGTGTAGGCGAGAGCATCAAGCAAAAGCATCCGTTTCGGTGCAACAAGACCAAGACCAGTCCAACGGCAGGGAAGAAGTCATTATGGAGCCCAAGCCAGCGTCACCACCAGAGCTTTTGGCAGGCGAGGACCAACTTTAATCAGGATAAGTATACCAGATGTTCCCCTCCAAAATGGTCAATTGTTGGCACCCTTCCCACTCAATATTTGGGAAGAGACTCAGGGCCTTTGCCTATAAATAGGACTAGCCACCCACAGAAGAGAGGGAGGGAGATCAGATCGCAATCGGAAAGAAAGAGAGAAGGGTGACTGAACTCCCCCTAGCAGTTCATCCCCCCAACCAAGAATAGACCTTCGCGAGGTTGTTCTTCCTTGTATTGCTCATTATCATCAGCCCAAGAGGCAATCCACCACACCACACACTGGAGTAGGGTATTACACCACAACGGTGGCCCAAACCAGTATAAACCCTGTGTCTCTTGTGCTGTTCTTTCCATAGCTTAGATCTCAGCGAGGCGGGGGGGTGCAGGTAGGTAGAAGGCAAAATCTCCGCGCGCACCCCAGTGTTCGAACCTCAAGGGTTTGCCGGAATCCAAAATCCGACACAGGTAACTGCTAAACACATGTGACGGAAGATTCGTGTTCATGAAACCTGACAACCTCCCAAGAAACAAATGCTACATGTTCAGAAAAATGGAATCTTCTGTTAGATGTGGCAAGAAGGCACGCTAGGTTGAAAATGAACAGAAACCTAACACAAAATTCTAACTCACCATGGCCCTTGAACTTGTATCCTTATTTCTTTTGAACTGCAACATTTTTGTGCAGGGGTCCGGCGAGCTCGCCATGGCGTCCACCACACGCAGAGGAAGATGAAGTGAGATCACATCCCCATGTGGAAATGCACCCCAAAAACAACACAAAGATCACATACATCATTCTGAACTCCGACCTTCTTTCTGCACATCATGTGATATTCTCCCCTTCCTGATAGTGGCCTTCTTCATTCCTATATTCACACGGGTAGCGAGCACCAGCAGCACATAGGTCTCTGCAGACACAATTTTTAAACATAGGCAAACAAGAATCCGCCACAAGCATTCAGGAAGATATTCTTTGTTTTTTTTTTGGTCAAACTTGTGTCATGAACAAGCATTCTAAACAGGAGTGAGTGACAAGCATTCAGGAAGTGCATAAGTGTCAGATGCATAAGCTTCAAGCTTCGAGTCTCTATCCGATGTATAGTCCATTCGAGAAGAGAAGTGAAAAGCCCAACAACAATACTAGAATGACAACTGCCATTGGAGTTAGTCTGTCAATTCTTCACGTGGGCCCTAGTTCTGTTCTCACCTTGTTGTATGAGATCGCATCACAAGGAATTGCATCCGAGCTCCTGGCATTTCTACAATTTTCGATCAATGAACACAATTGGCCTGCTAACAGTCAACAGATTGGACTGCAGCCATACTTACTACAGAAGAAAATGGAGGTTTCGCAAAATCTACAGGGAACAGTCACCTTTTTGTGAAGAACATCAATGACATCCAGAGCACGATGCCTGCGGGGCTTCACCAACGAACATCAGGATGGCGCGACGGTGGTTGGAGAAGAAGTTTGAGCAGAGGAGGGGAAACCGTCCATGGTGAGTCAGAGGTGTGCAAACGAGGAAGAGCGCTGGCCCAGCGCGGGATCATGGGTGGAAGGCGGGGACAGTGGCTAGCGGGGTGAATGGCGCTGGTGCCGTAGCCTGGCGGGGTTAATGGCGGCTGGCGGCGCACTGGATCGGGTGGATCCAGCAGGGACGCACATTGACGTTGCCGGCAACGGGGATGCGGGAGGAGGTCGTCGACGGGGTTGCGGAGGAGGCCGCCGGCGGGGTTGCGGGAGGAAGCTCACGGTGGCGGCAGGTCTGCGGGATGAACATCGCGGCGGTGGTGGGGTCTGCGGGAGAAGGCCCGCGGCGGCGGAAGGTTCTGCGGGAGGAGGCACGCGGCAGCGGCAGGGTCTGCGGGAGGAGGCCCGCGGTGGCTGCGGGTTCTGCGGGAGGAGGCAGGCGGCGGTGGCGGGGTCTGCGGGAGGAGGCCCGCGGCGGCGGGCGGCGGGTCTGCCGGAGCAGGCCAATGGCGGCGCTGGTGTTCCGGAGATGGGAGGAATCGAGAGATTGGAGACGACTAGGAAGGTCGTGGGTAGATTATGCGTCGGTCCAGGATGTGATAGTGGGCCGGTCGGGTTGCTCTGTTTTTTGCTTTCACGGATCAGCAAAGTCCCATCGGGCTCTATATAAGGCTGATTGTGATCCAAATATTATTCTGATCCTAGGATCAGAATAGTGTTACTATAATTTCCCAAAGTCAACACTCCTTTTAAAAATGTCAGATATCTGAGAATTATCAAAGGACTTAGAAGATGCACATTTCTTATCACATGACGTACACCATAGAAGATTGCAATGGGCCTTCAGTTTAATATTTTTTATTCAACGGGTGTTTTTCCTTTTTGCAGGTAAGCAGCTGTGGTTATTGCCAAGAACTGGTTGAACCTATCGTTTTGGATCGTGTGCTGTAGGAGTGCCATTGTTTCACTATATGTTAAGGATACAAATCTATCCACCATTACCTTCTCGAGTTTTCCAAATCTCAAACTAGTCGGGCTAACACGTCTCCAGGCTCCGGCCTTCAGGTTAGCCATCCTATCATAAGGCTTCAGCATCGCACCATGGTTGTAGAACAGCCACCGCTCCTCTTCCATGAACTTCTGCCAGGCAGAAAACTTGAATAACAAACAGTGTTCATGCACATTCTCAGTGAGATTGATTTAGTAATTAAGATGCAACTAAAGAGTACTCCCTCCGTCCCAAAATATAAGAACGTTTCTAACACTAGCATAGTATCAAGAACGTTCTTATATTCTAGGACAGAGGAAGTAAAAGAAACAAACAGATTGCCACAAAGTCATTGCCAAGTCCCAAGCCCCCTCTTGGGTGATAGACAAATGAAGTATAAAACAAGCACAACAGCAGGTTTACATCCGGTTGCAGAACAGCCACCACTCTTCTTCCATGAACTTCTGCCAGGCAGAAAACTTGAATAGCAAACAGTGTTCATGCACATTCTCAGCGAGATTGATGGAAAGTAATTAAGATGCAACTAAAGAGTAAAAGAAACAAACGAATTGCCACAAAGTCATTGCCAAGTCCCAAGCCCCCTCTTGGGTGATAGACAAATGAAGTCTAAAACAAGCACAACAGCAGGTTCATCTTACAGTCTTGAGCAAAGATAAGATACTGGATTTCTTAGATACCACAATTATAAAGTAGTCTTTAGCCTAGAGGACTCGGCTTTTGAAGGAATGGCTCCGGCCGCACGTAACTGAACCCCACGAAGTTGCTATCTGCAGCAACAGGGCTGGCCACGGGAGAGTCCAGCACCGGCATACTCGTCCAGCACTCGTCAAAGTTTGCAATGCAGGTCTGCCCAGCAACATTTGGGCAGAAGCTTGGCTTGATCTGTCGAGCCTCTAGTTTCTTCCAGTTCACTGCCTTGAACCACTTGTGGTTCTTTATTTCGTCACTGCCGCCCGGTCCACTTCCAAGTCGCCTGCCAGCTTCTTTGTGCAGTAACTGAAAAAAAAAACCGTGTTGAGATAGTAAGGCCAAATTAGCACCAAGGCATCCAGATTTAACTTCCAACTAACAAGGCATCAGTCATATCTCCGACAAGAGACATCCAGGGATCAGGGTTCACTACAAGCAATAAGGTGCGATTTTATTTATCTAGGACCAAGGCAACTTATCTTACCATATTTTTAGTTTGATTACCATATTTTAGTTTGATCACAAACTCAAACTGGGTTGACATTGAAAACAAGCAAAGGTCGATTGCGCAAGGTCAAGGTGAACGCAGCAAACTTACCCCTTTCAGCAGAGAGTGAACCTCACTAGACAAATACGTCGGAAGCTTCATCTTCTCCTTCACTATATTCTGCTGAATCTTGTCCCTGTTTCCACCAAAAAATGGGGGCTGCAACATATAGAAAAATAAGAATGTGCAAAGAAAAATATATCAGGCGGATAATTCATCTGAAATGCAGATATTTCTAATCAGAAGATTTCCCCTCAAACAACCAACCTTGCCCGTAAGCATTTCGAAAAGAAGGATCCCCACACTCCACCAGTCTGCAGCTTTATCATGACCTCTGCCCTGAACAATTTCTGGGGCCATATACTCCACAGTGCCGCACATTGAATTTGACCTAGTGTTCTCATCAAACTCCTTTGCCAGGCCAAAATCAGTTAGCATGGCCTACAATGGAAGACACACGTCAAGAAATTTCCCCTCTGGCGATCATAACATATAGACAGAAAAAGTGACATATGAAGGATCCTTACATGGCCATGAGCGTCCAATAAGATGTTCTCAGGCTTCAGATCTCTATGCATAATCCCATTGGCATGAAGGTGGGCTACAGCAGATACAATTTCAGCAGTATAGATGCGTCCAAGCTCCTCCCTACCACATACGTAGAAGCTTAATAAAAAGGTTGTCACATCTGGATAGGTGTAAAGGGAAGACTGCAGAATTAAATTAAATTACCTAAACAAGCCTTGTTGGTAAAGCTGAAAGAAGAGATGGCCCCCATTTACAAAGTCCAAGACTAGATAAAGTCGGTACTTAGTCTGCAAGTAAGTTTTGGTTTTAGCACTGGCAGATGCAAAACACTACAGATAAAATATAGCTTGAAAAAAACAGTGCACACACAGAAATGGTGCACGGCCTACCTGAAAGGAGTACCGCAGCTGCACCACAAAAGGATGATCAACTTTTGTCAGTATATCTCTCTCTGCTTTCATGTACTCAGCATGGTTCTTCTCCAAAATCTTGTCTTTCCTCATGACTTTCATTGCATAGATATCTGAAGTACACTTCCTTCTCACCTGATAGACTTTGCCAAATGCCCCTTGGCCAACAAGCTTCAAGAGTTCAAAGTCATCGAGTCCAACAGCCTCATTCTCCTTTGTTGTATCATTGAGCTCTTCATCACTAAGACTCCCCTGGCCACTTTTCTTTTCTTTAGAAAGACACTCTAGCAGATCTAATGAGCTATCGGACTCATGTAGAGTAAGCTTACTAAGTGGCAAGGATTGGCTAACAAGTGAAGTTGGGCCAACAAGAGAATGAGATCGCTTGGTAATGACTACAGGGTCATTGTAAACCTCCTCATTCGACTCGGCCAAAGGTGCAGGGCTGCCTGGAGTGAGAATGCTTACTTCTGTGGGGGTCTGGACCGCCGTAGCACCAAAAACATCGTTAAAATCAAACTCAACATTTTCAGGAAGGACAACATCTGGAGGCCCTTTTGGCAGAAGTATCATCCCTGTAAAGAGCTTGGGGCGTTGTGTATGGGTTGTTGTAACTGAAGGTATCTCAGAGGAAACCATCTTCAGGAACCAAGATTCAACACTTTGAGAATCTTGATGAAAGCTAGCGGTAGCTGCACGGCTTCCCACTACCAATTCTCAGAAATATAGAATGAACACCTTATGGGGCAGCTCTGTCTAAGGGAGGCTCCTTCCACAAATACCCAAGACAACAGAAGATGCAGGGCTGCGAACAATGGCCTTGAACAAGTGGAAGTTCACGGAGACAACAGGAAATCCAAGGAATCCCGGGTGAAGGCAGGGTGGGAAGCTTCCGTTGTTTCCCGATGAACAGGAAACTCTGGATGCCACTGTTCTTCCTGAATACATGAGATCAACTTGTCTATGGGCTGCACGCAGAAGGATATTATTATAGTTAATTCAACAATTTCACAAATAAGGAAGCTTGTACTAAGAAGAACATCATACTAGCATGCCTATTAAGAAGAACATTGGGATTATTCATCAGAGTATAAAACCATGTGCTGATCTGCAAACTGAATCGGTAGGGCACCGTGTTATCTTCAGCAGAGACTAAACGTAAAGACAGTTAAAGCGTGTTCTAAAAGTAATTTGCTACCTTAGTTAGAAAAAAGGGTTTTCCAATCAGAGGAACAACAGCATTCCAAATTTAGCCCCAAAAGTCATGAGACCCACCCAACCAGGATACGTCTCTACCTTGAAATAACCCCGATTGATGAAACGTCCATCCTATGCCCGATCTAGTGCCTATCCAAACACGAAGCCTGACTAAAATTGGCATTCCTATCTGCCAAGAATGGGGACGCATGTCAAAATAAACCCAGACAAAAAAAGAACGGGAAGCAAACTTATTGGAGAGCTCACAAATTTACTGCGTATCCACACCTCTCGCAGCTAACACCTAAATTAACCCTACAAAGCCATACTTTTTTAACATAATATACGCACCGAATTTACACTCAGAAGGACACAATTACCATGGGAGTTCAAGGCATCAGCTAAATCCCCAAATCGACCACTAGCCCCTGCCCCCTATGAGCGCCACAGATCCAAAGAACGGAATCCTGTGCAGATCTAACAGACCCACGAATCCGCGCCCAGGCACCAACGCAATTGGGCGCCGCGAAACCCGCAGCGCTCACCGGTCCGAAGAGCAATCGCAAAACCTTAACTGCACCCGAAATAATCGAAAAAAGACGCGTGCTCGAGACGGACGAACGTCCCGGCGAGGAGAAAATAGAAGGAAACGGAGGAGAGGAGGGCTGGAGAGACCACGGCGACGAACCTTTGCGGAGGGTGAGGGGGGCGGCTGGAAGCGGCGGCGAGTGCACGGCGATCCCCTGCGGCGGGGCGGCGAGGAGGCTCCTATTATAGAATAGGGGCGTGGTGTGCGGGGCTCCGGTAACCGTAAGGGGACGCGTGGCGGGCTCACATTGGTGGACTCCGTAACGGGATCGAGGGGGGCTCGCGATGCGGGTTGGCTTCTGGCGAATATGCTGCGCCGCCGAGATGGGCCGCCAGTTGGGCCACCTGGGGCCCACTGTCATGGTCACGGGGGGGAGGGAGAGGCTGGTGGTTGTCAATCCGCTCTGTCCTCGCGCAAAACGCGAGGGGTTATCTTGGTTTGGCGCCAAGGTTGCTTCTAGTTTTTGGTTTGGTTTCCCTCCTGCGAAAGGGATAGAGAGAGATAGAGCTCTGCCGTGTGCATTACTGTAAGCCAAGCCAAAGTTTTTCGTTTTTGTTTTTTTTCTGCGGGTCAAGCCAAAGGGAGCGTGTTAGAGAGGTTGTGTAAAGAATCTTGTTTTTATGGATCGGTTTGTTCTCTGAACCACACGCCTTATCTCTTTTTTCTTTTTGCGGGTGACGTCTTATCTCTTTTTGATTAGTTTGAAACTTTGAATTGCTTACCATGTGTCTTATCTCTATTTTTTTTAAAAGGAATGCCATCATGACTTATTTTATGGGTCCCGATAACTGCCACACGTGTGGTGTATCAGGTAGTTGTGCCACACGCCTCGTGTGGCATGTACAGCAACCAGCCGACACACCTACGTGTGGGCAAAACAACTAATGCTCACACACATCTTTTTTTCTCTCTTGAACCCTTTCACACGCGTGCGTGTGGGCGAAGTTGATAACGCCCACACGCCCGTATGTCAGGCCTCGTACCCTTCTGGTCCCGCACGCGACGCGTGACGCCTACCGCACGCCCGCAGTTGCCATGGTCCAGACCCTCGTCCATGTTCGTTTATCTGCAGTTGCCATGTCGGACAACTGCAGTTACCACGGTTGCTCAACTGCAGTTGCCATGTATGGTCTGATCTAATGTAGTTGCCATGATTTCATAACTTTAGGAGTTGTCACATACTAACACTAGGCAGTTGAGAGAGTTGTCATGTGCTCACAAGCATACTAGGGCAGTTGTCATGTAAAAAGGAAGAGTTGCCATCTGCTTACGTGCACGTTAGGGCAGTTGGCATGTACGTGCACGTTGGGGCAGTTGCCATGTACCATGCAAAAACACATGGCAACTCGGTAAAAAACAGTTGCCATCTGCTTACATGCACACTAGGCAGTTTGTCGTGTACCCTGCAAAAAAACATGGCAACTCGGATAAAAAAGAGAGTTGCCACATGCTTATAAAGCACACTAGAGGCAGTTGCCATGTGCGCTGCAAAAACACATGGCAACTAGCAGCTTACATGTGGGAGAGGAGACGGGCGTGTGGGCGAGATGGCACATGCCCACACACCAGCCCTTGTGCGTGACTGAAAATTGATGTGTGGGTGAACTGCTAAACACCCACACATCGGCCCCTCCGTGTGGTAAAACGGATGTGTGGGCGAACTATGTCACACACCACACACACGCCTTGTCCTACGTGCCACAGAAAATCAGCCAGATTGTGTCAAGATTCGTGCATATAGTACTGGACGGTGATGGATGCGTGTGGTCGAGATGGTCAACGCCCACACGTGTGGGCGTTAACATTTTCGTATTTTATTGACAGTTTTGCTAAGCCTCGGTCGACTGAGACTTAGTTATGTCTCAGTATGCTATATTTGTTCGATCTTGTGTGGAGATTCGTGCAACTTTTTTTTTAGTTTTTTTTCTTACTTATATATCATGTCACTTGACTGAGACTTGGTTAAGTCTCAGTAGATTGAGACCTAACTACATCTTTTTATTGATTAACACATGATGTCGTTCATGAGAAGCTCGAAAATAACAGAGAGAGAATTATCTACCCAATTACATGAAATATCATTCTCGTAACAATGTTTTACCACCTCAACGGTGCATGAATTGGACATCTCCTATCTCGAAACCAAGTCCACACAATCAACACACAATGTCGCACCTTCAGACCACCATGTAGACCATCCCATACACGCTTCTACTACTCCAGTAGAATCATACTCCACAATAATACTATGATGATATCCCATATTCTCATCGGCGCTACCAACAAAAGGCCCTCCCTCATAGCATATGCTCCCATCAACGATGCATTAGAAGCATCGGGAAATGAAAGTACACGTTGCAACAAAATTAGCGTGTGGATCACAAATCACTGCACTGTTAAAAATATGTCCTAGAGGCAATAATAATTTTATTTATTTATTTACACGTTCATAGTTAATGTTTATATTTCTATGCTATAATTGCACTGGTTCTTGAGTATATGAGATTCAGAGGGAAACTCAATTGCAAGTGTGAAATAAACACCAAGTAATGTATTGCAATTTCAATTTGTATGAACTTCCTTCCTCCCTCCATCCCTCCCGCAGCGCTCCCGCCAACACCCGGGGGGGGGGGGGGCTAGCCCGCCGCCTCCCCTCTCCTCCACCATTCAACCTCCTCCCTCGTCGTCGCCCAGCAGTGCCGCCGGGCAAAGGCCAACCAGCAAGGGCGACGGCGGGGGGGCCTTCTTCTCCCCTCCGCACGAGAACCACGGCTGACGCAGGTCAGCCGCTCGTCTGGGGCGCCGGCCTACGGCGAGGGCCAGTGGCGCGGCGGCTGATACGTCCATTTTGCATCATGTTTTCGATGAATATAACACTTTGTGATGCAATTCTAATGCATTTTCTCTCTTAATTTGCAAGATTTATATGAAGAGGGAGATCGTCAGCAGCTGGAATTATGGACCTGAAAAAGCTACATCAGGGATACCTATTCTGCAGAACTCCAAATGACCTGAAATTTTACGGAGAATTTGTATGGAATATATAAAAAATACCGGAGCAAAGAAGTACCCGAGGGGGCCCACCAGTTGCCCATAAGGCAATAGGGTGCAACCACCCCCAGGCATGCCCTAATGCCTTGTGGGGCCCCTGGCAGGCCTCTGGATCCCATCTTCTCCTATATGAAGGGTTTTGACCTAGAAAAAAACAAGAGAAGACTTCTGGGACAAAGCGTCGCCGTCTCAAGGCGGAACCTGAGCAGGAGCACTTTAGGTTGATACGTCTCCAACGTATCTATAATTTTTGATTGCTCCATGCTATATTATCTACTGTTTTGGACATTATTGGGCTTTATTATCCATTTTTATATTATTTTTGGGACTAACCTATTAACCGAAGGCCCAACCCAGAATTGTTGTTTTTGCCTATTTCAGGGTTTCGAAGAAAAGGAATATCAAACGGAGTCCAAACGGAATGAAACCTTCGGGAACGTGATTTTCTCACCGAACATGATCCAGGGGACTTGGACCCTACGTCAAGAAACAAAAGAGGAGGCCACGAGGTAGGGGGCGCGCCTACCCCCCCCCCCTCCCCAGGCACGCCCTCCACCCTCGTGGGCCCCCTGTTGCTCCACCGACGTACTCATTCCTCCTATATATACCTACATACCCCCAAACGATCAGATACGGAGCCAAAATCCTAATTCCACCGCCGCAACTTTCTGTATCCACGAGATCCCATCTTGGGGCCTGTTCCGGAGCTCCGCCAGAGGGGGTATCCATCACGGGGGGCTTTTACATCAACACCATAGCCCCTCCAATGAAGTGTGAGTAGTTCACCTCAGACCTACGGGTC